GGGGGGGGGGGGGGGGGGGGGGGGGGGAGATTGCAAGTGCCAAACTTTTCACAGCTCACATATTTGGTCAATGCAACTCCAAAGAGGCAAACCATAGAAAAAGTGAGTACTCTTGCATCCCTGTGCTTCTTCCAACTAATCCTGTAAACAAAAGGCTTCATCACAGTTGAACAAATAATGGTTCCAAAAGGCTCATCACTTTCCTTGTCGGAATATTTTTACCCAAAGTTATTTTCGTTGCATTAATGTAACACATTATTCATATAACCAGATTCTCTCACTAGCAAATTTTTACTCACCAGACCACCCCCATCATCATCATCAAAATCAGCAGTTTTGGCTCCTGAATCTTGCACTCCAACGTGATCTGTAACAGATGAAACCTGCAAAGAACAAAGAGAGAGAGGGGGAGAGAGAGAGAGAGAGATTAGTCAGAGTCAACCCTCCAAATGACATACCCAGTGAACACAGAAGGATTCATTATATTGCAATCATATCAGTTTTTATCTCCACAGAATCTACGTGTAAAGCTCCAATAGTACTACCCTACCTTGATAGTCCGCCCGGCAATCTCCAGTTTCCCATTCAAGCTTTGAGCTGCCTTTGCATGTTCAAGCTGTGCAAACTATAAGAAAATGGCACATAAAAAAATTACGAACAACTAAACTAATGAACAATGCTCAATAACAAACTCTTTTCCAAAGATTATAACAGAAAACCACTTTCTATAAAGTCAACATATATAAATACCGACTTGAATAAACCCGAAACCTTTGCAGTGTCCTGTCTCAGGATCAGTAGGAAGTTGCACAAGCTCCACAGGCCCAAAAGCTTCAAAAATCTGAGAACTCACCATAAAAAAAGTGAACATATTAAAAAAGGAGATAGGTAGTCGAGTAACAACAACAGAGAACCTCACTGATAAAGAACTGATAAGCAGGATTAAAGGACTACTCTAGGATTATTGCAGTAAAACAAGAGGATAGGTGAGACATTAGAAAAGAACTAAAACTGTATAGCACAAGGGAAATGTACAATGTCTTGCAGAATCCCCATAGCAATATAAGCAGGTTCCTAAAGCATAAAACCAAAATTTTGACACTTCCAATTGACAAAAGTATTCCTTTACATGGGCTTGTATCACCATATAATCACAAAAGAATTATATGTTTTCTGTACAGCATATTCCAAAAAAGAAGGATGTGAATAGGAGTATCCTGAAAAACAACTAATCTTCTCAATGTGTTAAATTCTAAAAAATTTGCATGCATATATTATTCATATAGCTTGTTGATGGACACTGACGTCAACAATCCATATCATTTCAACATAAAAAACTAAGAAATAATCTGAATCCCTTAGCCATTTAATGAAGACCAAAATGAAAACCAAGGGATATTTCAAATATAGTGCTTCACAATGAGAATGGCTAAAGGGATTTTTAAAAAGTTCTAAAAACTGAACATTGGATAACTTTTTGCAGCACCAAGGAAGGTTGACATTTTAACACAGGCCAAATTAATATTTTTTCTTCCAAAAGTCCAAAAAAAATTAATCTAATTAACTAAACAAATTTGTTTGTGAAGGTATGACTTTATGTCAAAAGATCAACAAGACCTCATCCAGCCCACCAACAAAAAGCTTGTATTTCTTCCTTGGAATTTTGGACTTTGCAAGGGAAATTGCTTCAACAAATATGTCACTATTTCACATTCAATACTCCTACCATTCTTCTTTTTTCTTATAGGAATATTCCTACCATTCTTCTCCATCTTTTCTCAATGCAAGAAGAAAAAAATATTACCTACTGAGCAGGGATTTATACAAATAACCATCCAGTTATAATATGGATGGAAATTATTTCCAGAAAAAGCAGACTAGGGTAAGTAGAGATAATCAACATAGAGTTGGTTAAATCGTAGCAAATGGCATGGAAATCTTGAATGCAAATGACACAGGAACTGCTTAAGTTTGAATCTTTAAGCATAATCCAGAAATAAAAACCATAATGACTGACCAGAGGTGACATAATCAATTCCAAATAGCCCATTTCATCATCAAATTTCAATTCCAAGGACCAGATTTCCCTTTCAAAACTAGGTTTAGTAAAATCCAACATTTATAGATAATCATGCATTTTCATTAGGGGATACAGCATTTTGAGATGATTTGGCCAATGGAAATTTCCCTCTTGAACCCAAAGGTGTGGATATACCATTGGTACATAGGCATCAAAGATAGAAACTTGAAACACAGCCTAGAACACCGGAAAAACCGTCCCAAGCATCCATTCGAGGAGGGATGAAGGCTGTTGTTAGGAGAACAGACTGAATGATTTGTATTTGTAATGGTTAAAAGTGATTTGTAGATCCAGTTTTTCCACCACAACAAAGGCAGATTGGATAAAGTCATAGTTGTCAAATCGCGTATCAGAAGGTGTATCATTTTTTAAAAATAGTGTATCGTAAGATACGGCGCAATTTTAAATAATTAATAATAATTTTGGTAGTAAGGAAAAGTAAAAAGATCTATCAGTGAGGCCTAGGGACAATTAAACATCTCTCAATTAAACATCTTTGGTAACATTATAGTTAACAGGAAAATACGTTACCAACATCCATTTCCTTTGGATTTTTGAGTTATAGCTTGTTAGAACTCAACAAGATTACTCTTTGTTGAAGTTGTCAATAATCAATCTTTCTGGACCTGGTCATCAAACTATCATGTTCAAACGATCAATCAGACAACACAATCAATTTGACCACCTAGTAATTGTCATTAGTTGCTCAAATCCAACCGAAAACACAACTGGTATCAAAAAGAACCACATTAGTACAATGAGATTGATTGCTTTAGGTCACTTAAAACGACATATCAAAATATAAAAAGGTTTCTCATACCACCATTGCAGCATATAATATCTAGTTTAGATATGGACCTAAAAGGTCAAGACCACCAACTACTACCTCACCACCAGAACAGGTCCCTTTATCTGCCCATGAAAAGAGAAACAAAATAATATTGAAGGAAAGAGAGTTATGTTCTCATCTACAGTTCAGATACCTGATAGCCAACACATTGACAAAAACCAGACAACCCAAATGATTCTAAATATCTTAAACTGAAAGTCGATCTGATATATATCTGACACATGTCTAACTGGTGATAGTCAACACCAAACCATCAAACCGGCCAACAAAAGTGCTGGATATCTAAGTTTCAATAAACAACAAGAACATTTGTCTTTCATTATATAAAGTTGTGTCATATCAGTAAATCGAATCTTCAAGAAACTTTCCCTAGAAAGTCGACTAAAACTTTAAAAGACGATTTCATGAAACTATTTTAGCAACAGTCAATTTATCAGCCAGATATGATGTTGATTTGGCAGACACTCGTGAATGGCGAGGATGGATCCTTTCATTCAAACAGCACAATTTTCTAATAGCATGCCACCTTATATCAAGCATGTTGACAATTCTTAATAGACCCGTCAAGTGTTAAGATTGTATATATATTACATCGGCTTGATGCTTTGACATCATGCATGTGCAAAATATACTAATTAAAAACAGAATCTTGAGAATTTCAAAACTTCTGATTAATTAATGAAATTCATAGTTTTATTCCGGCCGTCGAGGGGAGAGAGAGAGAGAGAGATTTAAGGTATTAAAAACGTGGTCGTGTGAGAGGGAGAATCTCAACCTAGTGAACAGTTAGGTGCTCTCCGTGATATATAGACGAATGAAAAGAGAACAAGATACTCGGTCACTTCATGATGGTTGATTCTAATTTAGTTTTCACTCAGATCTCCAACAATGTTCAACTAAACTTGAGCTTTCTCAAGGACACTTGGCAATTCTATAGTTCCATGATCATGGACACAATGCCAAAAAATGTTACATCCAAGGGGCAGCAAAATAATCCACCAGTAACAATTGTTTCTCTTTTTCTCCTCCTCTGTTTTTCTCATTGATGCTTCCCCGAAAACGAGTTCACTCCTCAAAGACCATATGCAATACTAAATTTCTTATTTTCTTATTTGCAACTATCAATCTAGATAGTTTTATTGATGATATCTTTAATGGAGTGTCCAAATGACATGGGGCATTCTTTTATACCCGCATACTTCTTCCTCAATAAATACTACTAGGCATATTAAACTTGTCTTTTGGCTAGGGAAATAGGAGTCCTTATGATTAATAACACTTCATGCATGCACCTCTATAGCTATATCATTAAGGGAGAGTGGTGCTAGAGTAGGCACCTCTGTGCCTCTAGATCATGGTTCAAAGTCTCGACCAAGTTGTATCCAACTCAGCACCTACCGATCCGATATCGATACATGTTACGCAAAAATCTTGATTTTCACTTGACTCGGCGATGTCTCGGTCACCATAGTTATCAAATCGAGTATCGGAAGGCGTATCATTTTTTAAAAATAGTGTATCGTAACATACGGTGTAATATATATTTTTTTAAATAAATAATAAAATATATATATATATATACCTTTGAAAAAAAATCATACACTCATAAAAATATAGCATTTCATTAATACTCCACCACCTATTCAAGTCATCAAAATAATTCATTAATATTATAATACAAAGTTTACAACCATAGTTCACTAATTCAAATTTCAAACACCAAAGAGACTTTTAATCCAAATTTCTAACATCCATTTTGAACTCAATCCATAAAATTAATCAAGATTCAGAAATTTTTATACAAAAAAAAATAAAATTAGTGTCTTATTTAAACAAAACGACGTCGTTTCAGAAAAAAAAAAAATTAAATTTTGCGCGTATCGATCGTATCGTACCGATATGTATCGTATCGTAACATATCGTACAATACGTATCGCGTATTGTATGATACTAACAAATATGTCAGTCACAACTCAGTGGTATATCGGATTGACTCGGGGCGATTCATACCCAAATCGAATCGATATGGTGAGGATTGTTGACAAAATCTCCTAAACCTTTGAAAAATACAAAAAGCCAAAGAAAGGGAGAAGAGACCGATTCAAACCCAAAATCACAAAAATCCAATGCAACTTCACCCTTTTTTACAAGTATATACACAAAAGAAGAGGATCAAAAAATTTGAAATACAAACCTACATGATTGAAGATGGAAATCACAAATCAAAGCTTCAGAAACCCTAGACTTGGTGATTCAAGCTTCGTTAGTTTGCAAGCTCCCACTCTTTCTTCGTCTATTCGTCACTTCGTCTCTCCCTCTATATTCGTCTCTCTCACTCACTCTCTCTCTCTCCATGACGGATACCCACAGTAAACACAAACTCATGCCTTTTTGTATGGGTCAGTTTGGATTTTCTTTTTTAAAAGGCATGGGTTTGGATTTTCTTTTTTCTTCTAATTTTTTTTATATTATTTATGGTATAATCTAATTAGGAGTTAAACTCATTAAATCATATATATATTAACATAATAACATATTTATCAAATTTATAATTGATTTATATTTATTTTTCTTGTTTTTATTTTAAACTTGTTTAAAAATAGGTACTAATATGTTCAAAATAATTATATGACTATATACTTAAAGCTTAATATGTTTTTAAATGCTTACAAGTAATGATAAATATTTTTCGGTAATGCCCTCTTAATTTCTTTTTATTATTGTTTAATGTGTTAACTAATGTATTTTGAAGATATGATGCATGAATGATGACATTTACAAGTTTTAGAAAATTTCATTATTTTTTCAGAATTTTTTAGGCATTCTATCTAGCATTTTAAGTGTATCGGCCGATAGCGTTCCGCGACCGATGTGTCATAGTGTCCGCCAAGTCGATAACCAATACCGTGACCTTGAACTATACTCTAAATGTCTTACTTAAATTACACAAAGCTCCTCTTATTTTTCAGTAGGGATCATAGTTACCAAATAGAGATTCGTATTGGGAATCAAAATCTTAGACTTGAGAATTGGAAAATGTATCAAATCGGAAATCGTACGATTCAACATAAAATCCAAACAATGATAAAAAAAAATAACATATACATATTTAAAATAGGCAAGATATTAAATATTGAACATTATAATATTTTTAAAAAAATAATTGACAAGTATTAACATTATCACGTCGTCTAAATAGAAAAATATTAACCTTTATAAAATTACTCGTGAGTTTGTACCTCTGTTACTTGTTTATTAATACATAATAAATCGTTTTTCCAAAATGGTCATAGTGAAAGATGCATGATTTTAACCAAGTAATAGTTATCGTCTTCCTATGAATGAAGTACTAAAATATAAAAAATCCATCCTAATTCGAACAAATAAACTTAGAAAATTATTTCATAAATTTTTGATGAACAACAAAAAACTGATCATTTATTAAAGAAGTAGGGGGTATGTTAGAGGTCGGTAGCTGTTGTTTAAGAAGAACAAGAATACCTAAAATGAAATTGAAAGAGAAGTCGTCTTTGTATGCTGTTCATAGACGCTTGATCAGTTACTTGAGAGGCAAAGACACAAACACAAGATATAGAGATAGACACGAGTTTTATATTTGGAGTTGGACCTTTCTAGCAAAACGACATCATTTTGACCATCTAAAAGTCAAAACCACATTGTTTTACTAGAAATAGGGTTAAAAAATAATAATAAAATGAATCATATGATTCCCTCAATTTGAATCGAATCGAATCAAATCGTATATGATTCTTGCGATTCAGGTGCGATTTTCGGCCAAAAACAATTCTAGAGTAAGATACGAATCAAATGGGTATTAAATCAAATCGAATCGTACAATTTAGATAACAATGGTAACGATATATAACCTCCACAATACCTTGCACATGCTACACGTGTGCTACCAGCTCTAGTCCTAATAAAAAGGGTCCCCCCATGATGCAACGAGTATATCTCCACCCTACATAGTCAGAAGAATATGATATTTTTTCCTTTCTATCTTTTGTCATCAGTTTAGGTAGTCTCATGCTAATTATCATCGGTAAAGTTCTAACATGGCAGCAATTGACTTCTTACATTTTTCTTCCTGCCCAACCAGGAATATATTTCAAAAAAATATAGGAAATAAAGATCAGGAAAGAATAGCACCCATTTTTACTTGTCCAAGTCTAACCAAATCAAAATAACTTGACATTTACCTGTTTAAGCTGAAATTCTGTCATGTTGAAGTGCAAATTCCCCACATAAAGTTTTCTATCAACTGCACCATATGGCCCTGCAAGTCCTCCTGAACCGCCACCAGAAGCATTAGACTGAACAAGGTTCTTTTCTGCCTCTGATGGTTTAACCATTACAGGTTGTCCGAGAAGTAGCTGGCCAGATATAGCTATAGCCATTGGCACAGACATTGCATCATAAAATTCGATATACCTGTAGTGTCATTGGGGACTCAATATAAGTATGCCAACTATATGAATCAAAAAACAACAAAAAAAATGACAAGGAGAGAGACAAGTGGTAAAAACGCTAACTTTAAATTTCATAAGCAAAAGTCAAATTTCTAGAGGAGGAAATATAATTACATCTTATAGAAGAAGAAATAATGATTCATATGATAGGAAAAATTCACCACATTACATGAGATACAGATAGTAATACATTAGTCAAAAGCAATACAATAAGAAGATTATCCCAGAACAGATTGTAAAAAAGAACCTAAGGAACAAGTTACAGGGTGGGGTGGCATTTCTCACGTCATCAAAGCAAAACACTAGCCAAATTGGAAAAAAAAAAATCAACCCAAACCACAATCTGCCAGAAATTTAAAATCGAAATAGAACCTAAAGGCTTAGAAGCATAGGTTCCGGCTTCAAACAACATCCCATGATTGATACTGAAATTCCACAAATGGAAGGAGTCGAGCCAATGCATATCATGCCTAGAAACATATGCAACCCCAACCTATGAACTTTGAGAGAATTTCTTGTGAATTTTAACCCAGGCATCTTTCAATTGCTATGGAAGTTTAAAATGCCAGAAGGAATACTTTTAAAATTAATGTTCTCTGAAGAAAACAGAAATTACTTTCCCATGATACATGCACAAAAGTTTGATAATGTTCAGCAAAAGAGCATATACCCAACTCCTTTTGACCGTCTGGAATTCCTGTCCATGATCAGTCGGACATCCCTCACCTGTAGATGAAAGAGAGAATGATTCAGGTTTAATACTAAAAAATTTTGAAAGAAAGGATATACAGCTATTCTTGACATTCATGCAACACATTACAATACCAACAACGGGGTGCTCAGAAGTTCATTATTTAATTCACTCTTACATTTTTTACTCACCCATCATACATAGTATGTTGAGAGACAAGAAAGTCACTATAATACTTGTAACTGAAGGCAAAGGATCATTTACTGCAACAGGAAGGAGATGTATCTTAATAAAATGCATTCATAATGTCAGAAGCAGAATATTGAGTAACAGCCTAACAGGACTAAATTAATCATAAAGCCCTCGATATGCAAAACTCCTTAATCAAATCTTAAAGACAAGATTCAGACACTTCAATAAGACAACATGTAAAGTACCATACCTGTTACAAGGCATAATCGAGTTTGAATATAAAACAAATCAATAATAGAAAAATCCAGAGAGTAAATTTCATTACGAAAAAAAGATCAAGTTTCCACTAACCTTTCCTACTTTTGAGAAGAACTCATAAACATCCCTCTCAGTTGCCTTCAAGGGCATCTGGAAACAACAAACCAGAGCATCAAAAAAGAGATACCAAAGAAAAGTGCAAAAAGATGCAACTGTTAACAATTTCTACAATGATTAACCCTTCAATACGCAGATATGTATTCTAGGCTCTAGCCAACTACCTGGTAAGCAAAAACAGTTCTCTGATCCCTTTCTGGATCAGCTTCAGGCTCTATCGCTTCTTTCTTTTCTTTGAATTTCCTGCCATACAANACCTAAAGGCTTAGAAGCATAGGTTCCGGCTTCAAACAACATCCCATGATTGATACTGAAATTCCACAAATGGAAGGAGTCGAGCCAATGCATATCATGCCTAGAAACATATGCAACCCCAACCTATGAACTTTGAGAGAATTTCTTGTGAATTTTAACCCAGGCATCTTTCAATTGCTATGGAAGTTTAAAATGCCAGAAGGAATACTTTTAAAATTAATGTTCTCTGAAGAAAACAGAAATTACTTTCCCATGATACATGCACAAAAGTTTGATAATGTTCAGCAAAAGAGCATATACCCAACTCCTTTTGACCGTCTGGAATTCCTGTCCATGATCAGTCGGACATCCCTCACCTGTAGATGAAAGAGAGAATGATTCAGGTTTAATACTAAAAAATTTTGAAAGAAAGGATATACAGCTATTCTTGACATTCATGCAACACATTACAATACCAACAACGGGGTGCTCAGAAGTTCATTATTTAATTCACTCTTACATTTTTTACTCACCCATCATACATAGTATGTTGAGAGACAAGAAAGTCACTATAATACTTGTAACTGAAGGCAAAGGATCATTTACTGCAACAGGAAGGAGATGTATCTTAATAAAATGCATTCATAATGTCAGAAGCAGAATATTGAGTAACAGCCTAACAGGACTAAATTAATCATAAAGCCCTCGATATGCAAAACTCCTTAATCAAATCTTAAAGACAAGATTCAGACACTTCAATAAGACAACATGTAAAGTACCATACCTGTTACAAGGCATAATCGAGTTTGAATATAAAACAAATCAATAATAGAAAAATCCAGAGAGTAAATTTCATTACGAAAAAAAGATCAAGTTTCCACTAACCTTTCCTACTTTTGAGAAGAACTCATAAACATCCCTCTCAGTTGCCTTCAAGGGCATCTGGAAACAACAAACCAGAGCATCAAAAAAGAGATACCAAAGAAAAGTGCAAAAAGATGCAACTGTTAACAATTTCTACAATGATTAACCCTTCAATACGCAGATATGTATTCTAGGCTCTAGCCAACTACCTGGTAAGCAAAAACAGTTCTCTGATCCCTTTCTGGATCAGCTTCAGGCTCTATCGCTTCTTTCTTTTCTTTGAATTTCCTGCCATACAAAAGACTTGCAACATAATCAGCAGAGATCCAAATACAAGAAAAAGAACAATTCCGCAACAAATATGACCTTTTTGGCTGTCTACAGATTTCCTGCTAAAAAACACTAATCGCACCCCTTCCCTTGTTTTCTTTTCCTTTCGTTTGTGATATATTTAGCCTCACCCCTCCCACTTGGATGCCATTCTAGCACTTTTCCTGCCATGCAACCCATCCTTTTCACAATAGCCTAAATAAAAGCTTAAGATTTTGAAGAGGGGAGAGGGGATAAGTAAAAATTAAATTATCAAATAAGTTTCCATCAAGACAAGAAAAGCCAAAAATACGAGGAGTTCAGTCATCAAAGGTATTTTGATAGCACAACAAATTTATGAACAAATGCATGAGCATCAGTAGCGGCTTGATGCAAACAATTTCTGGGCAATCTAAGTAGCATTTTTCAAACACTATTTGAACAGATTTGAACCAAAAGTTCCCTATCTGAATACTGGGATATCTCAAATTTAAATTATGTATATCCCATGCAGAAGAGATCCTAATATCTCTAATTTAAACAATTTACATGTCAAATTCCCAGAACAAAAAAAAGAGTAAGATTTAAATTTTAGCTAACAGTAAATAAAAAGGTCATTCTTTGGCTTATCATCTTCAAACAAACTGAAGAAGGCATCTGGATTTTGTCTCAGAATTTCTAAGCCAATAAACTTTTTGACCTTTCACAATTTAGTGCACAATATTTGGTACTTCCATTTGAAACATACAATACACTGCAGGTTCCTAGTATTTGGGTGATTCCAACAGGAAAAGAACAAAATTCTTAATGGTTTCATGGCAACAGGAAGACCACAAATATGAAGTTAACAGATTTATCGTCTTCATAGTGAACAAAATGTTCAGAAACTGATACAGCCTCAACCCCATGCATTGCCAACCTAAAAATCAATACATCATCTGTCAACATCTCACGTGAAAGAAAGAAACCTCAAAGCCAATCATGTACAAACATTAGAAGACTGAAAATTGTCAAAGCTTAATGGCCAAAAAAGAAAAAAAACCAGACCTTATCAAATACAAATTGTGGAAAAGCCACTTTCATCAGTGAAGCCTCGAAGAAGTGTCCGCATTGTTACCCCATTACAATGTGCAAACAATCCATCTACGATTTCAACCCAAGTTAGAAATTACGTGCTTTAAGCATAAACCCTGACTTGCTTCACACAGACAATGTGTCAATCTCTGCCTTTTGTTTTTATCCAATTCAAAGATTAAACTATGACCAACCTTAGACACTGTTTCTTTTATTTTGGATAAGTACCACAGTGTGCATCCAGAAAATAAGACTAACACATAAACTGAAGTAGTTAAATTTGTGGCTGCTTTAAATTGTACCAGATTTCTAAAATATCTGCATTTTAAAGACCAAAATGACACACAAATACTTCATCAAACTCAATTTATAAGAAAGCCCATTCCTATAATCAAACGCCTGAAAACCATAAAAAATATAGTCAAGAAAATAATGCATGTTTTAAATCTACTTCAAACATCAGAAATCAATGGAAAGGTTTAATACATCGAGAGGGTTGAGACAAGGGGATCCACTTTTCCCTTTTCTGTTCACTTTGGTGGTGGATGGGTTGAGTAGATTAGTAGAAAAGGGTGTGGAGCATAATTTAGTGGAAGATTTTACAGTGGGAAAGAAAAGGGTTAGTGTTTCTCATCTCCAGTTTTCCTATGATACCATTTTTTTTTATTTGTTATGGGATGAGATTAAGTTCCAGAATCTTGTGAATATTGTTAGGATTTTTAGTTTGGTATTGGATTTGAAGGTTAATATGTCTAAGAGTTATGTGGCAGGTGTTAACATTGCTAGTAGTAAGATTGAGGATTTGGCTAGGGAAATAGGTTGTGACGTGAGTGAGTGGCCACTAAAATATTTGAATCTTCCATTGGGGGGTAATCCGTTATCTTTTAATTTTTGGAATCTAGATGTGGAAAAAGTCAGTCTAATCCAAAAAGGGGTTTGGTAATTGGTAATTTAGTTAAGAGAATGTGACATTGTGGGGAAGTGGTTTTGGAGGTTTCCATTGGAACCTAATTCTTTGTGGGACTCTATTATCAAAAGTAAGTATGGAATCCATGAAAATGGTTGGGCCTCCAATGTGGTGAGTCTTTAATTGTCCTTGAAATTTATTTCTCAAGGTTTGGATGAATTTATAAAGCATGTTACCTTGAGTGTTGGAAATGGGAAAAGAGTCAAACTTTGGGAGGACATTTGAATTGGTGAGACACTAGGAAGCACAGACACTTTTCGAAGGGGTGCTGTGGCAGTGTCCAACATGTACCCGTCCGACATGAACACAGCTAGACACGTGTCTAACACAACTAGAAGTGTCTTAAATAGTGAACTCAATTGAACATAAAAAAAAGTTAACAACTAAAAGGGGTGTGATTTCTATTTTTTTAATATATTTTTTGTTTTGTAACTTATATACTATAAATGTTAAATGGATGTAACGATGTGTGATGAAAATATCAAAATACGTGTTTTAATCTATTTTAATTTTAATCAAAAAAGTAGTATTTGCTAAGGCTTATTATTAATATTGTTATAATATAATTTTTATTATTTAAAAAATATATTATATTATTTTAATAGTCGTATCCTTGTCATTCTGTGTCCTATATTTTTGAATTTTCTCATATCACTGTATCTATATCGTATCGGATACGACAATTGTGTCCGTATCTATGCTTTCTAGGTGAGACATCTTTGGCATCACGTTTTCCACGACTCGTTAGATTATCGGGGTCTTGCAAATTTCGGTGTCCAAAGTGTTCATTTCTAATGTCTTCCTCTGGGTGGTGGAATTTGAATATTTTTTGTAATCTTAATGATCGGGATATTTTAGAGTGTTCTTCACTGCTTTCTTTGCTTCTTTTGATCTCTTTGGATCTTTCAGTTAATTATAGAAGGCCATGGTCTTTTGAGTCTTCGAGAAATTTTTTTTATTGTTTCTATTTCCAAAGGTTAATTGATCATCAAGTTGACTCCATTTTTGAACTTCAAGTGGTGATTCGGAAGGCAAGATAGCCCATCAAGGTGCAAGTGCTTTGCTTAGTTGATATCTCATCTCACAGTAAGGTGAATACTTGTTATATATTGTGATTTGCGAAAGAGAAGACCTAACACTTGTATTTCTCCGCATTGGCGTGTCTTGTGTAATAAAAGTGACAAAAGTGTGAATTATTTGTCTATTCATTGTCCCCACAGCTCATTTCTGGAGGCGAAATTAGTGTGGATGACTCCTCCTAATTGTGCATCTCTAATGGTTACGAGTTTTAATGGTTTTGAAAAGGGTAAGTAAGCTTCCATTTTGAGGGGATGTGCTAATTTGGCCATTTACTCGGCATTGTGGATTGATAGGAACTGCATAATTTTTGAAGATAAGGAGGAGGAAAAAGAATTAGAATTATTATGGGATAGAGTGAAGTTCTTGGCTTCTTTTTAGGCCATTATTACTACTGAGTTTCATGATACCCCTCTTTTAGTTCTACAACATAACTGAAAAACTGTTTGTAGTTCTTAATTTGCTTTGTTTTTTGTTCTTGTACGCGGATTCCTAATCCACTATTTTTGTACACTTCCATTTTCTATGAAATAAAATTTTGTTTGTAGGCCATTATTATGGGATAGAGTGAAGTTCTAGGCTTCTTTTTAGGCCATTATTACTAATGAGTATCGTGATACCCGTCTTATAGTTCTACAACATAACTGAAAAACTGTTTGTAGTTCTTAATTTGCTTTGTTTTTTGTTCTTGTACGTGGATTCCTAATCCACAATTTTTGTACACTTCCATTTTCTATGAAATAAAATTTTGTTTTCCTATCAAAAAAAAAAAATTAGAAATTATCACAAGTTAACCTTTAAGTTCAAAATTTTTTACTACTCCTGAACCAGATGCATACGGATTCATATACCTCAATTAAAAATTCAAAATATCAAAAACAAAAACAAGACAGAAAATCATCCGAAAACAATGACAAAGGCAAGTCATCACCTGCTCTCTCGCAATTCGAGTTCGGCTTCTCTCTCTCTCAACAATTCCCTCTCTCGTTCACGTTCAAGCCTTGACCGACTCCGGCTCCTCCTTGAACTACTAGGACTCCGACTTCCACTCTTCCTAGACCTTTCCTTCTCTCGTTCCCTCTCTTTATCCCTCTCTCTCCTCTCTCTATCTCTATCCCTCTCCCTCTCTCTCCTCTCCCTATCCATGTCCCTCTCCTTATCTCTCTTCTCTCGCTCCTTCTCTTTCTCTATCTCCCTCGAACTCCTCCTCTCCCTACCCCTATCCTTGTCTCTCTCGCGATCCCTATCCCTATCCTTATCCCTTTCCCTCTCTGACTCCCTCTCTCTGCTTCGATGCCGATCCTTCTCGTGCCTCGACGTCCTCTCTCTTCCATTCTCTTCTTCGCCTCTCGATTTCTTACTCTTCCTGTTCTCTTCGCTTCGATCCTTATCCTCATCGTCAAAATCATTATCTTCGCCTCTGTCTCTCCTTCGATATCCTTTCTCTTTCTCTTTCTCGCTCTTCGAAGACGAGCCGTTTTGGTTCTTCTGATGTTCCACAGTTTTCTCCAGATATTCGTACTCGTCGAAATCCATGGCTTCTCCAAGGTCCAGCTGGCAACCTTGAAGGTGATTGATCCTACAGGTGAGCTTCTCGGAACCCTAGAGTTGCAGAGTCTAGCGAATTGTGAAACCCTAGCTCCCTGGGGTTTTTGTGAGAATGAAAACGAGAAGAGTGAGCTTGTGGTTGCTTTCTACATCGGGATTGGGGACTTGGATGGAATTTGGGAAAACAAAATGATTCTGTGGCGGGCGGGCCAGGCCAGGGCCGGGCCGGAGAGGTCCATGATTTTTCAGCCCATTATCCACCAGTGGGCCGAATCTTTGAGCTTTGACTAGTCAATGGGCTGGACTTGCCCAATCATGAAAAAAAATTACTGAAAATTGAAAATGAGTCCCCTAGATGTACTTGTTTAAAAATAAGTCTTGTAAAGACACTTATAAAGGACTAAGTCCATGTTTAAAATTATATGTAATGACTTAAGTCCACTTTTTTTTTAATCTCAAACATATCCTTCCTTGAAATGAAGATAATATTTTCTCTTTCATATTTATCTATATTCATCTATAGGTTAAAAGTTTGACTAATATTAAAATTTTTCTTCTCTTATCTATCTATATCCATATATAGGTTAGGTATATATATTAATATTAAAAATAAAAAATAGTAACATTCAAATACAAAAAAAAAGTTACTATGAATTTAAATAGTAAAATTCAAATTCATGTTACTATTTTTTTTATTATGTTACTGTTCATATTACTACTTTTGTTGAGTGTTTTAATGTTCATGTACTATTATTTTTGAACATGTTACTGTTTTTGTTGAGCATGTTAGTACTATTATTTTCTTAAATATTAATATTCAATTTTACTATTTTTTTTTTGAATATTACTATTTTTTGTATTTGAATGGTACTATTTTTTGTGTTTGAATTTGAAAGAAATAATTATTGTCAAGTATGTTACAATTTTTGTTAAGCATGTTATTATTTTTGTTAAACATGTTACTGTTGTTATTTTTTAAAAATATTAATATTGAATGTNAAGGTACTATTTTTTGTGTTTAAATTTGAAAGAAATAATTATTGTCAAGTATGTTACAATTTTTGTTAAGCATGTTATTATTTTTGTTGAACATATTAATATTTTTGTTAAACATGTTACTGTTGTTATTTTTAAAAAATATTAATATTGAATGTTACAATTTTTTTATGTTTAAATGTTACTATTTTTTTGTATTTAAATTTATTATTTTTTGTGTCCAAATGATAACTTTTTTTTGTATTTGAATGTTACTATTTTTTATTTTTAATGTTAATATATATATATATATATATATATAATAAAATAGAACGAAGTTTGAATCCAAAAGACAAAGAGAGGTCCAGATTGTTTTAAAATAAAACATAAACACATCCAACAGACAACATCATCCCAACATAAAAGACGGTTTAAATTTGACACAAAAGTCAATACGTTCGCACTTCAAACTTACGCGACTATTCTTTAACAACGATTCGAAAATTTTCTCATCATTTTAATTATTTTAAAAATACTAACAAGTTAATATCATTTATATGTATATAACACATGGGATCTCACAACCCCCCCCCCCCCACACACACACACAACGACAATCTCCCTTGCTCTCGCCTACTTATTATATATATATAAATAGATTTTTTTTTTTTTTTTGCAGATGTTGATTCATGGATGATTGCAATGTGATTTTCTTTCAATAAAGTTTGATTATATATGTTTGTATACAAGTGGATATTATTCAAATACCCTATTTTTTAAAGATATTTTGTCCAAAATTTTAAAAATATTAGTGGGTTATATATATTGTTGATTGTCGTAAATGAGTTATACATTGCCTTTGTGCATGGACAAATATTTATAATTTTTTAACAAGTTACATAGTGTTTTTAGACACGGATAATTACTAGTATATATAATAAAGTAGAACATAGTTTGAATTCAAAAAACAAAGAGAGGTGCAGATAGTTTTGAGACAAAACATAAATACATCCAACGGACAACGTAATCTCAACATAAAAAATAGTTCAAATCATCTCATAAATTTTGATCTAACAGTATACAATTAGTCTTGAATTTCTTTTTTCACCCATGAAGAAGCCTCTTATCGTAAAACTTTACACTCCTATCTCTCATACGTCTTTATCNACAGTTCAAATCATCTCATAAATTTTGATCTAACAGTATACAATTAGTCTTGAATTTCTTTTTTCACCAATGAAGAAGCCTCTTATCGTAAAACTTTACACTCCTATCTCTCATACGTCTTTATCTTAAATTTGAAAAAGCACAATAACAACTCAAATTAAATTCATTTTAAATTAAATGATATAAATTTCATTTAAATTCATCAAACTTAATCCAACGGCTCACAACACATCCCACACAAAAATAAAATCCCACTAAGTGCAAAGCTAGAAAAATACTTTAGAGTGGGCACATTAATACATTTTAATTATTTTTTTATCAATGTTACCATTGACTTAATTCAATGTAACTGTNTAAATTCATTTTAAATTAAATGATATAAATTTCATTTAAATTCATCAAACTTAATCCAATGGCTTACAACACATCCCTACATTTTAATTATTTTTTTATCAATGTTACCATTGACTTAATTCAATGTAACTGTTATTTTAATTGTAAATTTCAATGTTAGATGAAGTCTATTTTCAATCAAAGGGGTGCATTGAATTATGTCATCAAATTAGATCTAAGTAGCATTTTTCATTTCTTTTTCAATTGACCATAGCAATTCATAATTTCATATTTACTATAATTATGCATAAAAATTCATTAAACATAAAAGGTTAAAAAATGATTTACATAGAATGAACAAACAAAAAATAAAAGTAAATTAATTANAAGAGCATTTTTCATTTTTTTTTCAATTAACCATAGCAGTTCATAATTTCATATTTACTATAATTATGCATAAAAATTCATTAAACATAAAAGGTTAAAAAATGATTTACATAGAATGAACAAACAAAAAATAAAAGTAAATTAATTAAAACTTCGTATGAGACTAATTTTTATCATTTTACAATTAAATCTGATTATTGTTTATCATTTAAAAGAATTACAAATCAANTGATTTACATAGAATGAACAAACAAAAAATAAAAGTAAATTAATTAAAACTTCGTATGAGACTAATTTTTATCATTTTACAATTAAATCTGATTATTGTTTATCATTTAAAAGAATTACAAATCAATGATATCAATAAATGCTTTTTTTCTATCTACAAAATGGTAAAAACAGTTTTTCATTTATTACCCTGTAATTTATTACATTATGACGCTCATTTCTATACAATAATAAAATAATCCTATAATTTAGAAAAATGAATGGGATATGTCTAAAAATTATTCGGACATGTCTGTGTCTAAAAATTTAAGAATAATAATAATTGCATCTAATTCAAAATTTAATTTTATATCTTCAACAAAAAAAATTTCAAAATTTAATTGGTAGGAATCCAATGGTTTGTGACCATTTGATGAATAGTAGACGTTATTAAATGTAGGGACTCACTATTAGATTTAATATCATAATGTATTAGCTCCAATAACATTATTTAAAAATTAATTATTATTTAAGTAGTCGTCTATCTTAATCGATATCATAATAATACAACAATAAGATAAACACAATTAAATATGTCTAAATTTTATTTTAAAAAATATATATTTATTGTAAAAAAAATTAAGGGTGGACACAATTAAATATATTTAAATTTTATTTTTAAAAAAATATATCTAATGTTAAAAAAAAAAAAAAAATTTGAGGGGGGCACGTGCCACCCTGGTCCAAGGGTGGCTCCGCCCTTGAAATCCACCCAATTTAACTACACTCACATGCTATCCATTTTGTCTAACATATAGCTCAAACTCTTTCTCTTTTTCCCATTAACCGTCTCACCTCTCTTAATTTCTCAAAAATCATTGTCATCCTCCTCAGTCTCTCATCTCTCTGTGCAGGCTCCAACAATGGGCAGACCTCCTTCAGCGACACACGATATAATCTGGAGACCCACTCCCCGACCATCCACTTTCTTCCATCCAAATTGTATTGGCAGTGATCTAACCTCTGAAAGTACTCTTGCTAGTATCCATTATTGTTTATCGTTGATGATTTTTTTGGTTTGGTTTAGTGGTGTATGTTTTGATAATAGTTTATTGTTTTTAATTTTTAATGTTCTTGTGGTTTAGTTGTGGATGTATTGTCATTAACTGATTGTTGTTAAATGTTATATGTTAAAAGTGTATTGTTTGTACCTTGATTTAGGTTGATTTTGTTTAATTTCTAATTTTACTATAAAATTTTGCATAAAATTAAAATATTTCTATTAAACACACATAAAATACATAATATCTCTAACTTTAGTGCTTCTTTTTCAAAGTTTGACAGTTTAACATTTGACCTCAATTACCGCATACACACCGTCACTACAATACAAAAATCAGTATCCAAATGGACAATGTCACTATTTTTGGACATGTAAGTTATTTAGTATATCGATTTTTTTCAAAACCTTTGGTATAATATTTCATTAAAAATCATTATATACTTACTATATAATTTTTCATCCTTCTTATTACAAATTAATTCATACCTAGAGTATACTGTAAGTAGATCTTATTATCATGCATCTTAGTACTGATGGTTGATATTTACTTCTTACTTCTTANTCATACCTAGAGTACACTGTAAGTAGATCTTATTATCATGCATCTTAGTACTGATGGTTGATATTTACTTCTTACTTCTTAACAATCAATTAAGTTTAAATTGTCTTTATAATCCATAAATAAAATCATCAAGTTATTATTCATACCNATTTCTAAAGAGAATGGATAATATGGTAAAATTGATAAAAAACGAACTTCATAACAAATAAGTTTTCTTGACGGACTTAAATCTAAACAAATTCATATAAGGGGACCGACCTCCAAATTTTTCAAAAAATTATGGTCATGGCCCAAGCAAGGGGTTGGGCCTATTGGGCTAAATATTACGAGCAGTTATTTTAAAAAAAATAATTTTTTATGTGAAAATTACAA